AAGTCCCAGTATCTTGAAGTTCCCAAAGTCTGCATGTACATGGTGGTTTGTCATTTCACTTTAGAAATTCAGCTGTTGTCCTGGTGTGGCTGCACATACTACAGTCTCAACCCTCAGGACACAGAGACAGGAAGACCAGAGATTTGAGTCCAACCTTGGTAGTTTAGCAAATTTCAGGTCAGTGACTCAAAATAAAAATTTAAAGAGTGCTGAAAGTATAGTTCAGTGTGAAGACCCTGGTTCCTTTCTCTGAATGTGGGCAATACACGCACACGATCACACACACCTACAGAGTCTCTGAGACCTGCCTTAACAATGGCCTCCTACCTTCATTTTAAGGACCTAGAACCAGTGTTCCTGCACATGGATTTTCTTCTCTAATACCACATAAGAGACTTACTTGCAGTTCTCTCAGACAAGTCCCTTTCCCTAGATATCCGCATCACCCCTCCTCTGGTTTCCTTCACCTCTAAGGTTGGTGTCCTGGTGGGTGTGGGTCTTCCTGGGCTCCTTCAGCACTGGCCTTCCCTCACCGTGCTGATTCTCCCTGCAGCACACAGTGCCTTGAAAAGCTGCTCACAAATGCACTTGTTTGTCTGCTGTCACTCATATTTCCATTGAAATGAAGATTCCACGAGACAAGAATTTAGTTTCCATAAGGGTAGAACCGTGTTTTATTATTATACTTGTTTTAGCTATTTTGTCAATAGAACCTTCAAGTACTATTTGCGTGCATGCGTGAATGAATGAATGAATGACTGAACCAATTAATAAAAGGATTCTGACATTATAGTATGGGGTAGGGGTTCCTTAACTGGGTCACACAGCTGAAGGAGAAGCTGGTGTAGCTTCACCTGTATTTACTCCCCCTCCCCACCACCCTAGAAGCCTTTATTGCCTGAGCTCTGCCTCTTCTCAGATCATCAGTGACATTTGATTCTCATAGGAGCCAGAACTCTACTGTAAACTGCAGAGCATCCCAGGGAACTAGGCTGTACAGATTTGAATCATGCAGAACCTATCCCCACTCTACTTCTTTCTCTGGCGCATTGAAAAATTGTCTAGTCCCAGTGCTCAGAAGGTTGTTAACTACTGTTATAGTTATATAGTGGTACTTCTGCTCAAACCAAATTGTTTGAATCACAACTGTGGCCACCTTCCCCCAAACACAGATGAAGCCACCTTTTCCAAATTAAGTTCTTCAGATAAGGTACCATTGTGGAACAGGAAATAAGCTTACGGTAATATTGAAAGATACTAAACCTCATCTCTATATTGAAAGATAGCTAAATCTATACACATCAGTGCATTAAACTTAACCATATGTAGTAGTGACTTTTTGTGAAGAAGAAAAGTCTTTGAATAGTACCATATACATTTTGTCAGAAGACAAAGACTGAGGAGTAAGTCCTTGAAATTACTTATAATATATCCCTTTAATTATCCTTGAGAGGAATAGTGATTTTCTTGTTTATTAGTTGTATTATATGTTTATCTGATACATGGTTATGAATTGTTGAATTCCATACCTCAAGATATCATATACATAGTATGTTGCTTTCAGAAGGGAATGCAAATAATCCACTTTATTGTGCTGGTTTCTTCTATATTTTAAAATCCCAAGACACTCTTTAGTGCAATAGACTCTCAGGTTTGACTATTCTTATGCTCAGAAGTTCTTCCAAGATTCTAACTAAAATCCTATTTGAAGTGTAAGGTTCATTAGGTCAATAGCATGTGATGGAACAAGCCCATTAAATCCACCTTTTGGGTAAGTTAAAGCTTGTGAATGACTCCTAGCTAAATAACATAATTACAGCTATGGACTAAAGCCAAGAAATCTGCCATTTACTTCACAGTAATCTTAAATGTAAAAAGAGTGTCCTTTGTGTAAAATCACCTTGAAAAGGAGAAAGCACTTACAGCAGGAGATTGCCATGTGGTAAAAGGGTTTTCATCAGATGGAAGGGGATTAAGAAGGTATTTAATTATGGCAAGCTAGCTGGTAGATTAATGCAGTGGAAAATGAGGGTGTGGACCAGCTGGGGATGGTGGGGATTTGTGGAGCCCTGTCAGCAATGTGGGATTTTCTAAAAGGAGAATTTGAGGGGCGCCCAGAAGCCAGTCTATGAGACAACCAGCATGTTCAGAAGAGGGCTCTGAGTGAAAAGATGCAATCAGCTAGTCCTCCTAGGCTAGAGTGGAGCAGCACCCAGGAACCGTGAAAGAGCAGGCAGCAAGGTCCTCTGCCAACCAAAAGGCAAAGGGGAAGGGGACTCCTCTTGCTAGCACTAACTTTTCTTTGCAACAAGCCAAATGGCCTCTACAACTTTGGATGACTATGAGAAGGCAAAAACTGTCTGAAAAGAGTAGTTAATTTCTTCCTGTACTGCTAATGAGGATCATTAATTTGTGACTAATTTCATTCATAACGTTCTCTTTCATTTATAATTGAAATGAAACCTATTTTTTTTCTCCTTCTCCTCCTCCTCCTCCCCCTCCCCCTCCTCCTCCCAGGGTGAGTTTTTGGTGGGAAGTCAGTCTTTATGCTCTGGAATTTTTCCAACATGCTTACCTAAGATATCGGTTTTAGGGTCTAAACCAGATCATAGTACACTCATAAAACCTGATTTGATGGAAAAGACTAAAAGGTGATCTCCTTATTTCCGATAATTTTATATTCCTGTTGTGGAGGTGGCATTTAGTGTCCTGACTCATACTTAATTTGATTTCACATTTACACAAAATGACACTTGAAAATTCTCCACACTGAGGCCCTTTTTCATTATTTATCTATTATTTGGAAGTAACATAGTTTTTAAAAAAATGCATCAAAGAGGAAATAAATCCACAGTTATTAAATAATTACTTGTTTACTTTGATTAAAAATTCAACTAGCAATCAAATCAAAATACAAATTGTTCATAAACATGATGAATTTATACATTGTGTCTGATTCATTATACTGTGATTTTTATTAGTCTTCTGAATTATCAAAAAATAATCGAAATAGACAGAAGTGGAAGAATATTTTATAAGACACTTGTCTCTCGCCCTGCAAGACTTTCTAGGTAATGAAGAACAGATACTGTAAACAACTGGCGGGTCAGAAGAGACTAAGGAGTTAGGGCACATAAATGCTACTCCAAATCCTAGATTAGATCCTCATATAGGAGACAGAAAAATAATCTGTGTAAAATTTAGAGTTTGGTTAGTGTTATTATCAGTTATGTTAGCATTTTAACACTCTTAATGCCTCTGTATGAAATATGTGCCATCATTACATAAGCTGTTAATATTAGAGAAATTAGTTAAATTATAATAGAACTAACTTTTCTAAGAAATAATCTAAGAGCCTCACTGGATGAACAAGTTATTACCTCATCCTTAGAAAGCAGCCTTATCTAGATGTGCATGCTTCAGTCATATAATAGTAAAGAGGTGACATGCTATCAGAAATACTAGATCTCTCATGTCTCAATATTTATTACCAGGTTTATCCTGCAGTGATATTGAGGGTCTTCATGGAGCGTGTCTGCTTTCTGGCTTGTGTTTAGCTCACTTTAAATCAGTTTCCACTTAAAATGTATCTTATACAGCCCTAAGGAAATCCATGAAAAAATGAGTTGAAACAAACCATGTATTTATACCGTATTTTCAACGTTTTAAAATTTTGTCTCACTCTGGAGGCAGAGATCAATAAGAATTTAACGAAGAACCAAACACCTGTGTACTAGTAGATGCAGGTATATAAAAGAATCCTAGAAGCTCTTATTTTCCAGATAATTGGTGAGGAGTAATTTGAAAAGAAAAATGTTTCTGATTCCAGGCAGCAAGGACAGTCATGCTCAGTTATGCAGGGAATTCAGCGTTGTTCTTGGTGTGCTTTCCAAGGCTGCTGGAGAAGATCTAAGAAGGACAGCAAGAGTATCCTGTGTATGTGTGTGGGGGTGTGTGTTCATTCATTGTTATTCCACTTACCCTACTTTTCTACTGTGAAGTCTGTGTGTTTGGTCTAAGAGCACCTTTTAACATGGCAAATACAGTTTTTCTCCCATCAAGAAACAATGCAAGACTGGGTGTGGTGGTGCGCACCTGTAATCCCGGCACTTAGAAGGCTGTAAACAGGTGGATCACTACAAGTCTGATCTACACAGTGAGACCCTGTACACCCTGTACACCCTGTCCTAAATACAAAAAAAAAAAAAAAAAAAAAAAAAAAAAAAAAAAAGGAAGAAAGAAAAGAAGGAAAGAAGAAAATGCATACAGGGATAATCAAAACAATCACATTATCTGTCATTTACGTCACAGAAAACATACTACTGCAACTTTCCAAGTGAAATAGAAGCACAGAAGATAAATATAGTGACCTCATTTCCCCAAATTTCTCTTGATGTATTGCCTCACCTCCATGCTATGGAAAAGCTACACAGCAGCAAAAAGTTTTGCTAAATTTTGAAATGCAAAACTGTGGTCAAAGGTCAAGAGATAGCTCTGCAGTCTAAGTGCCTGCCAGGCAAGCCCAAGGACCTGGCACTGGCATGGAAGACAATTGACTGGTGTTAAGAAAGTGAGAACAGGGGCTGGGGAGATGGCTCAGTGGAATAAGTGCTTCTCTGGTGAGCACAAGGGCCGGAGTTCAATCCCCAGTTCCACGAAAAAAAAAAGAAAGAAAGTGAGAACAAATGTCATTTGGAGCACTGATATATAGGTGGCTTACTTACTTTAAGACACATACAGGTGGCCTTACTTATTATTGAAAGCAGATGGAAAATCTCATTACAACCTATTCATGAAAAATTCATTTTATATATAAAATATTTTTAAATTACTGTGGTGTTAATTAGTAACAGACTTACTAAACAAAGACAGAATTACCATGTAAAAGAAGTGGCTTTAATAAAATTATTTGCAATGGATTAATCTGAATACATAAAGTTCCTGTAGGCAGCAACTTCATATATAAAGAAGGATAATAGAATTGCCTTGTTTACTTTCAGATTTTCAGACGATGCTGGTTGGTTTTCAAGAAGGCTTCTAGCAAGGGACCAAGACGGTTAGAAAAATTTCCAGATGAAAAAGCAGCCTATTTCAGAAACTTTCATAAGGTAAGTCACAGTCCTCGGAGTCCCTGGAGAACTACTGCATCGTTGACAACTTGTGGAGGCATTTCTTTGATGGATGAAATCTGTGGAGGCAAAAATTCATAGCCAGGATAACTTAGCCCCATCCTGATAAAATGTAAAAGTTATCTTTCTTCTTTATTTTAATCATCTTCTGTAAATGCCAGTGGTGCCACTGCAAAATGAAAGGCTCATTTTTATCGCTACTTTGCGAAACGAGATGACTCATAACTCAACCGGATCGTTTTCTAAGGTGCTGAGTAGGCATTTTGCCTCTCTTCAGGTTAATTGTGCATTTGTTACTTTGATTTAAACTCTGGGCAATATTGGGGAGATTAAACTTTTGAGCCTGGCTTCAGCAGTGCTAATGAAACTGTTAATGTGCGTCTTGTTTCCTGTTAGGGACCTGTTTAGACTCAGATATACTTAGAAGTAGAGAAACAGCATGAATTAGAGGAGTTCATTATTGGTGAGAATTATAATAATATAAAACATAACACTGAAATCATGATAAATATTATGCCTGAAGTTGTCTTTGGTGATGACATCAAAACATAGTTCTGTGTTTTACAGTGAGACAGAGAATTCACTGTCAGAACTCAGAACTCAGAGCAGTATTGACCACTGCTCTCTGCCTGAGCACCCTTAAGAAAGACTCAAATTCTTCCCTACTGTGAATCCAAATCCCTCAAGGAAGTTGTGAAATTGATTTTATGCAACATATGGTTTTACTTTTCTTTACATAACAATAGATTATTTCATACTAACTTGTTAACTAATTTTATTTCACCAATACCTAGCAGTTTTGGATATTGTACCTAAATCTGACAAAATAGCTTAAAATTTGAGTTTCTATAACTCACTATGAGGTAGTATGTCTACTAATTTAGATTTACTGCCATAGTGCCAGTTGATGTTTCTGTTCTGTCACTGAGTAGCTCATGGGTTGAAAGCTTCAATTCTAGTGCAAATGATGCACATTCACCTATCAATTCAGTAAGGAAGCACAGATCTCGATGTATTTATGCAGTTTGCTATACAAACAGCCAACACAATGCTACCTGCTCTAACCATATGAAAGGCTACTGGACTCCTAAAGTACCATTATTTTGTATTGTAATAATTATGTTAATGGTTTTAGGAATAAAGGCAAATCCAACTTAATGGAGAATTACCAAGTTGCAAAATGTAAATTTATTTATTTACATTTATTTCATGAGTAGAGTGAAAATCTGAATATTCTATATGTGTTCAGTGACATCTTAGTAAGAATGCTCCTGCTTGCTAATAGCTGTAGCCATTGTACCTGAACTTCTTTTTCTTACACATGAAACCAGCAAAATTGCTAAGAAGATTCAATATATTCTGCTTGGAACCATTAATCTTTAGATGAAGACAGTGGACCCCTGCTAGTACCTAACCACCTCTAGGAGTCAGTCACTTGCACATGTGGCTGGGATATCTGCTCTCAGGTAACTCTCTGCTCCTGATGGGGGATGCAGAGGTGCCGGAGACACAGTCATTGTTCCAGAAAGCTTCAATTCTGGTGGAAATAATGCACATCAGGTATAGTCAATTCAACAAGGTAAGTGCAATCCAGGATGTGTATAAGTAGTCTGCTATAGAAAAAACATTTTGACTAACTTGGAATGCATGTAAAACTTATTGGCAAATTGATACTTGAATGGCAAAATTAATAGTGGGTGATTTGTTATATAAAGGGAAAATGTTCTCTGCTATGTACCTGGAGAGGCCTATTCTTCTATATGTTTCCAGTTTTACCCACTTTTTAACCTAAAGTAATAGCACCCTTGTGGAAGTGTTCAAAGCTAAAAAGGCTAACTGCTAATCTTGTTGGAGACTGCTCATTGATAGTCGCATGGCTTCTACAGAGAACAGTGCATTTCAATGGCAAACTTTGTTTTTAAATGATCTGTGTGTGATCACAATGTGAACTAACAGCCTGAAATGGAAGATAAACTTATTAATGTTCATTATGAATGTAATTGTTGAATGCTCAACATGTGTAGAGGTAGTGCAGCAGTGGAAAGGGAAGATGATGTGCTAGTATGATCACAGAACTAATGGGCAACTTGTAACACCAGCTGAACTGAATTAGCACAGAGCAGGGTGTGGGTGACCCACATGACAGTTGCCAGCAGAACAAAACTCAGAACTGGATGGGAAAATACTGTTCTGTTAATTTTTCTGGAAAAAAATCAGTACAATGGCTTTCCTAACTTTTTCATCACATTGGTTTCTGTTTTTAAAAAAGTAATTTTATTAAGAAATAAATAGCAATGAGACAGTTTCAAAACTGATTACTAGCACAGTTTCAATAATTAATACATTGCACAGTGTTATCTTAGTGGTTATTCACTGTACAAGATGCAGACATGATATTCTGTCCACAAACACTATTAGAACAAATCTCTCTATTCACTGAATTAAGAGAATGCAGCTGTATATCTATACGAACTATTTTGAGTATACAGATACAAAATAGTCATTCATTTGTATCCCCGTTTTTGGCTAGTCTTATCAGAGAAGGGCTTCCCTTATCATATAATATTATAGGTGCATGAATTCCCCAAAATAATCCAATATAGTCCAGTAGTTCATAGTAGTAGTGGGTTTTCCATAAGACTGGCAATGTCAGAAGCTGTTGACTTGAGCCTTTTGCAGCTCAGCACATTAATATGGCTTTACTTTTTATTCTTCATTTTTATACTTTTCTGCTAGATGGTTAAGACCAAGATAAAGCAGGATATATCCTGAAACTCTGTACCGCAGTTTGTAGATGCTTTGTGAGTATCAGCCATGTGGATGAGTCATAGCATTGTTTGACCAATTTGCTGTCTGTGAAAGCCTAAAAGAATATTTTCTCTCCATGTGACTCTCCTTAGGCACACTCTACATCATCAATCACTTTCCTCTGTGGCCCTACAATCTCCTTGATCAGAAAATTTGGGAAACAACTGAGTTACAGGATGTTACAGTACAGGATCTCTTATGTCCTAAGTCTTCACTGACCTTGAAAGGGTAGTGCTAAAATGTTGGCTGTCCTTGCAGCCCTTCTTTTTGTGTAATTTTTGGTCTGAAAACTTAGGCTGTTAAGCCTCCAGAAGAGAAGCCTATTATTATTACCATACAACATAAACAATTCAGCTTAACCTCACTGTCTGAACAGAAAACATCTTAGGCATAGCATGGAACAGGTATTTTCCATCAAGTATTGATATATTAAGCTTTAAGTCCCTCCAGAATATGAAGAAAAAAATTCAAAAAATATTTTAAAAAATAGGAATAAACAGTTATGTAGTTTTACATTGAAATTTAGAAATCCAACCATATACAGCCTTGTAGCAGGTCAGTTCTGTGACATTTTTTTTCTTATCTCATGTTTTCATTTGTTACCTTTTCTTTAAACAAACATTTACTTGAGAGACAGTATGGCGGTAATTGTTACGTCATGATAAGCAGTACATATGTAGAAGACCAGAATAGCGGGCATTTGAAGTATGACCCCATCATTACAGATTACTATCTTCAGTGCAGTTGCTTAGTTCACAGGTATCAGCATATATAGTTAGTCAGGGTGAGAATCCTACCAATTAACTGCTAATTTCAAAAACATGCTGAAGATTCTCAGGATCATTGCCTTACTCATGTTGTGCATATAAATGTATGGCTTTGCCCCTGTCATGTTTCCCAGCTTTCCCCTTGTCCTCTCCTCTTTGCCCAATCCTCAAGTTCTTGCTTTCCTTTTAATTGCGTTATAACTTTCTATTTTTATTTCTTCTTTTGAGTTCTTATATTAGGGAGACTAGTCAATATTTACACATGTGGTTCTGGTTTATTTCATTTATGAGTATATCTTCAAGTAGCATCCACTTAAATATAAAGGTTTCATCATTCTATATAGCTGAGTAATATTTCTTTGTATAAAAATACCACATCTTTTTCATCCATTCCTCAGGTGATGAGCACCTTGGTTTTTTTCCAAGATTTGGCTATCCCAAATTGTGCTGCTATAAATATCGGTACTGGTTTTTCTTATATGAACTCAGCTGTTTTCATCAGCAGAACTCTCAGGTTCTTGCTGTTGGTGAGGATGGCTGAAGTTATTTTGCAGGGAACTCTGGGCCTTACTTTGAACATCACTTCCTGGCTCTAGTGCAGATCCCTTGGCATAGATCCATCATTCCAGTGGTTCAGACTTTCTAGCTTCCATCAGTAATCTTTCAGCCTTCTCAGTGCAGATCGTTGATACAGATTTGCATAAGACATTGTCATGGACTGTAGGTCTCCAGTTGGACTTGTGAAGGACATTACCATGGGATCCAGGCCCTCAGCTGAATTCTTTGTGTGTCTAGGGTGTGAACAGATTTCCATAATGTTTTGCATCTGACTCTTTAGGTGAATATTATGAAACAATCCTATAAATTATGTGTCCTGTTTTAAACTGAAATCTTTTTCTTAAATAATTTTATTCAGAAACAAATAGCAATGAGACAGCTTCAAAACTGATTAGTAGGAAGTTTTAATAATTAATACATTGCATATTGTTGTCTTCTTAGTGGTTATTCATAGTACAAGATGCAGACATGATATCCTGTCTACAAACACTATTCATACAAACCTTTCTATTCATTGAATTAAGAGAAAGTAGCTGTATATCTATCCTATCTATTTTGAATATACAGATACAAAATCGTCATTCATTTGTATCCCTTTTTTTGTTTAGTCTTGTCAGAGATGGGTATTCCATTTCCATTTAAATATTTCAGGTGTGTGAATTCAGCAAAATGTTCCCATATAGTCCAGTAGTGCTTAATAGTAATGGATTATCTGTAGGACTGGCAATATCAGAAGTTTTTGACTTGAGCCTTTTAAAGCTCAGCATATTAATATGGCTTTACTTTTTATACTTCATTTTTATACTTTTCTGCTGGATGGTTAAGACCAAGATAAAGCAAGACCTA